GGAGAAAAAGAAGTGGAATCGTCCGCCAGTGTCGATGAATTTTGAGGTATTTGTGAGATTTTTTTTCTAAATTAAATGTGAATGAACGGATTTTACCTCTGCCATTTACGAGTTCTTTGGTTTTTTTTTTTTTGAGCGTCGACGTATTTTAGGTGCCATTTGCGCCATCGGGTTTGAAAGTGAGATATCTGAAAGTGTTCGAACCAAAGCTGAATTATTCCGATCATGATGTTATCAAGTGGGTGCGCTACATTGGCAGATCGGGTCTCTATGAAACACGATGTTGATCATTTTCAATGATATATTAATATTTCCAGCCATATGAGCACACATCTGTGTGTCGCCTGTTTTTTCTGCATAATCAGTATTGCAGGTTGCTTAACTGCTATCGTCATTCCAATGATCTTTCTGCTCTTCATTCATATTTTTTCAACATTTTTTCCCCTAGCTACTGAAATGGGTGCATCTTTTTCAATTCATAAAATTTCTAGGTGCAAGAAAACATTGATTTCGAACGCTTTAAAAAATATAAAAATTTTATTAAGAAATTTAATTTTTGTATGTGTGTGTGTGTGTGTGTGCGCGCGCGCGCGTCTGTTTGTGTACGTGTATGTGTTATGTATCGAAATGATTTCTGTGCGAAGAGGAACTATCGATTAGTGCAAAAATTTTACTATGCTGCTTGGCTGAACTGTAGTAGTTTTTACGTACAACAACAAATTTTTATGTTTTTGTGCAATAATTTTTTGTTTCTGAAAGGATCGGGTCTAAATCATTAATAAGAGTGATTCGATTCACCCGAATTTTGTAACACCATATACTGATTCGTGATCTGTGATTTTTGGTGAATAAAGATATGCACCTATAAAGTTGTGTTGCTACTGCATCAAAATTATTCCCATCTTCCGACCATCTTTCATTTTTATGCATCAAAACATTTTTGTTTAACAAAAACAAAAATGCAGCATTCTTTTGTGCAGCAAAACAGTTTTCGAATTTTTTTTTTCTTAGCTACTGAGTTGTCCCACCAACTACCCTCCCCCCCCCCAAAAAAAAAAGAATTCTCAGATCTCGTATCCTTCGGACTTAATGAGCTCGGCGTTAGTGCCCAGGGTCTTTGTGGCTTATAGGCTGGTGTTGTAGAAAATATGCAGCTTCTTAACGGGACTTTCAGGATCTGTGCAATGGCCGGTCGTTTTTTGCGGTAATCAGTAGTGGCAGAGAAGATCTGGGAGTCCTTCCTGCTAGGATGCATTTGGTAATCTCTTAACATTGTAGATGTCCGGGAAAAGCAAACAGAAATGTGCAATGCTTCCACTCCTTCCCGCATTCTCTCCAAGTGCAATTACGCTTTTTTCGCTGAATTTGCCCTTTGGCTATATTTTGCCTCTTCTAATTAAATTCTGTCCTCTGGCAGATATTACACCTTTTGACTCGAGCCTCTCATTTTTGCGCTTCAAATAGTCGAATTCTGGTACCTCCATTAGTCCGGGAGTACAAGTCCACTCGCGTTTTGGAGAAGGATGTGGCCACTGATATATTTTAGTATGCATAAAGCAGGACAATTGCGTACGTCGGGTTGCTTTATTGCACTTTTCAAGTCAGGATATGCAGTGCAAAAGGGCAGGAACAATTGCATATGTCAGCGAGGTTGCCTGTAGAGAAGTGTTTCACATCATTCAGGCCAAAGATGCGCTGCAAGCAATGGATGAAACGGAGTGTGACGAAAATGTACCGCAAGTGTCTGTGAAGAAGCAGAGTGAGGAAAACAGGTGCATTGGTGGTGGCAGTGCCCCCTCAATAAACAGCCCTGATGATGAGGGAAGCTGCATTCAGCTCTGTCCGCGGTAATGTTTTGCGAAGAACGTTGAAGCCCGGACAGCTGTTGGTAGGCAGAGAGCGGTGAAGTGATGGACGTGGGCACTCATTACATCACTCACATATCACTGCATATGTAATTATCATTCAGCACCATGCGACGCGACACTCTTTTCATGCAGAACGATGAATTTGACCTCGTAAGTTACTTAATCAGTTGTTAAATAAATCACAGGGCGCTATTCTTCACCCATTTCTTTACGCTATTCACTGCCGAATTGATGGCAATGAGAACTATGTCAGCCAAGAAGCATAAGTGATTTAGCTGTACGCCAGTGAAATCCAAATCCCCCGTCCCGTCCAGCTTATAGAATACCGTTTTAGGCAAGTTGTGAAAAATTTGATCAAACGAGGTTTCCTTGCCTCTTCCGGTTGATATACGCTGCGTTCACGCAGAGGCATTTTTTTTTTTTTTACAAAAGACCTGTAAACCATTTTGCTTTAGCGCATTTTCGCCTTCATTTACGTAGTTTCACTTTTTGCACAAAACAAAATATACCTTACTATCGATTTCGCATTCTTCAGCTCCATCATTTCTCTCATTGTTTCAGTTTTTTAACTCGTTCCAGTGACATAACTTAGGTTCGAATCAGGTAACACAAGCCTCAATTTCATTATCCTGGCAGTTAGAAAAAAAGCTCATTCCCCATCCTTTTTGTTTTCTAGTCAACAGAATCCAGAAGCTGGTGTCAAACACCCAAATTAAACACAAATTAGTTGGCGGTAGGCTGCAAAATCTAGTTGAAGAAGCAGAAAATTAGAAGGTGAAAGGAAAAATGGGAAGAGAGGAGGTGTCATATGGGAGCGACCAGTCTTTTTACCATTCGCTGTAGAACAGTGAGTATTTTGCACTAACCATTTGTTTCTGCGTGTAAATTCATATTTTTGGAAGAATTTTTCAGAGGTCGGAGTCGGAAAGCAGCTCCGATGGCGACGAAATACCTATGGAAATGGATCTTACGACGGCGGGTCCACCACTGTCCGATAATGATTCCGTTATCGAACCTCCGGGTGCCCAAGCTAAAACAATCATGGTGCGCTCTTTAGATTAAAATCCTTCTGACTGAAATTATAATAAGCAGTTTTCGTTTTTTCTTTGAAATAATCACATTGCGAGCCATTGATGTTTCTATGCCTATCCATCCTTCTCAAAGGAAAGCAGAAGACTACCAGTGAATCTGCAACCATTTTGAGCTAAATTTGCAAAAATAAACCTCAGGATTTGTTTTAGCTTCAAACTAAGGCCGGTTTCCAACATTTTTGTGCATTTCGCATAAATCGGATAAATTCTTATTAGTCCCGTATGTATGTGTGCCTATCCATTAAATTCAATTCAAAAAAATCTGATGTTTTATGGGCATTTTTCTCGACCTTTCACGGGTTAAACAACTGATTTAGTTGGTGATTTTTCATTTTTAGCCTCAGCTATGTCTAATTTTTAACTGAAGAACCTAGAGCTTTAAAATGAAAGTTTTTGGAGTTTCAAGCTCATAAAATTAGCTACCAGATCTAGCTGCGCCCTGATATTCACTTTGAATTCAACTTCTATGAGTTAGCTGTAAGCTGGAATTTTTTGAGCCTTCTTTCATAGCACAGTATAGAATGAGTTACTTGGAATCAGATTTCATACTCCGTTTTCCTCTCGTTTCTCCACCGCCTCAAGGTTTTTGGATTCTGCTAAGCCCTTACTCTGCCAAATTAGTGCTTTTTGCAAATTCTGTAAGTTGTGCCGAATCGATGGCGGGCTTACGTGTTGTTTAATTAATATATTTGCAATGCTGTAAATAAAAAAAGGTAGACGTTTCGTGAAATTGCAGTATGCTCGAATGATTTTGCCTCATGTGGGTCTGGTCGTGCTGCTTGTAGTATATCTGCTTATTGGTGCAACTGTATTCCATTACCTGGAAGCACCCAATGAAGTCGAAGTAAACTTTTTTTGCATCTTTGCACTTCTATCATTATTTTTTACTGAGAGTGTGCCGCACCTTTGAGCTGTTTGCTGTGTTTGGAAACTTTTTTTTGCTGCGAAATTTTATGTATTTGCGTATAATTTTAAAAATAAATAATTCAAAACTCTTAAAAAACTACTATCTGTACATATCGATAGACAGCATCGGCTTATTGCTTTCGCTCTGTTTTTTTTTTACCTTCCTTACCTTTTATGATTGCCTGGACAATTCCTCCTTTACTCCGTTTTCGCTGCTACACTAGGGAGAAAAGAAAACTCCTTTATTCTGCTTTGCATAAAATATCATCAATTTTAAAAAAATTTAAAAAAGTAAGCTATCAGCTAATCAGTTTTTTGGTTGCCAAGTCGGTCGGAGTAGACGGAAATTCCTTGAGTTGGCGAAAGAAACTAAATTTAGATTAATGCCTGCTTTAATTTACTTTCCTTTGTAGTGCTTTATTGTCTCTTTCTCTGTACTGCTGTCTCCAGTTCTTGCCTCTGAACTTCTGACTTATATTCTCGTTCCCCTTCTTGTTCCCACGTGTAACGCAACATTTGTACTGTAAATTTGAGTGATGTACTGAAAATTTTCAGACTCGCGATCGCGAATTGCGTACAATATTTGGTTTGCGCAGAGATTTCCACGATATGATTTGGAATTTAACAGTCGCTGGTGATAGTTTGTTCACACGTGAATCTTTTGATCTGCTTGGACAGCAGTACTTCGAATCACTGGTTCTCGCAATGTTCGAGGCGTATCGCAATCAGTTCGTCAATGAGAAGCATTTGTTGAACCAAACCAACGGGGATGCAATGCTCTGGACCTATGCAAATAGTATCTTTTTCGCTACGACCGTCATTACTACTATTGGTACTCGTTTCCTTATCAGATTCACGTTTTATGCTTCACATTTTACGGCTTAAACTATGGCGGGTTTTGTCCGCCATTTAATGCTAACCAATTATTAAAAGAATTAGAAGCAGTAAGACCAATTTCTCGAAAGTTCACCCTAAACAGTGCTGCTCATTTGATTGCGTTTCGGTTCCACATAAGGCATTCATTCCACAGCTACTGCTCATGGATTTTGCTGAATTTATTTGTATACTGTGATATCATGATATCTATTTTTTCAGTGCAGTTTTAATTGCGGTGTTTGGTATTTACTTGGATTAGTCGAAATTTGTAATCTAGCTCTCCCAGCTATGCAGCTATTAGCTTTCCCAGTTACTTTGACTGATACGACCATTGTCTGGTGGTTAGCCTGTTGGCGATCCTGACGTTTGTTTCGTCTCTTGGTGAAATTTCCAACTCAACTTTCTCTCAACAGAAGCATTTTGCAAGATTTTCGCTGTCTCGAAATGTCCGTGGTTTGAGTTGAACGCTGCTATCTCGTTTCTTAGACCACTAAAAAAAATGCTATTCCTAAATTGCTATTCCCAGACCATGATGATATAACAGCTAGGAGATAACATTTGATTCCGTTTGTACAGAGTATCTGTTATCTGATATTAGGCAAATTTACAGTAAATGTAGCATCCATCTTCCAGGATACGGTAACTTGGTGCCTGCAACACAGTTTGGTCGCATTACATGCATCTGTTTCGCTCTGTTTGGTATACCACTGTTGCTGGTCACAATTGCTGACATTGGCAAATTTTTGTCCGATTTTCTCAGTTTTCTTTATCGGACCTATAGGACATTCAAAAGAAAGGTGAGTGAAATTTCTGGATCTGTTAGTGCATCCAGGTTTCATATCCTCCTGCCCACATTATGTTTCGTATTTTAACTCTGAGCCTACAGTGAATTAATTGTTTGAGGTTCGTAAGCAGTCGCGTCGCATATCACATCACTATCGAGATCGTAGCTCCTCGGCACAGAGCGGCTCCGAATCAACCAAGGCTGGAAGCATGAATTTGGATAGCATTGATAGCGATTCAGAATCGAGTTGCGAAGTATGCCGTTTATGTTTAGTTCTGCTTCCTGGCTTTGAAAGCTTTCTTTCAGACCGCATTAAACTACTGCAGGGGCTTGCATCTCTTCTTCTAAGACAGTGTGCCACAATACATCGGATAGTGTCTGGTGTAATGAGCTGATTCAAAAAAAAAA